TAGCAAAGCAGGCTGGTGGGTACAGGAGTGAAGAAAACTCCACAGAATACAGTACAATAAAAAGCATGGTACGTTTCTGCTCTTTACGTAGGGCAGGATGCCAGCACTTGGAATAATCTGCACTTGGCCTGACCCAGGGTTTGTTGGAAGACTCCCTCTAGCTTGACTGGAGTTTGGATCAAACTCCTTGTGACTAACTTTTGGCTTAAATATTAAGGTTGAGTTCCATGGAAAATTAGGTTAGGGAACTAGACAGAAATTCTAAGGCCAAAACCAGACATTAGTATTGTTTTGAAGGGTATCCCAGGTTTAACAATCTAGTTCAAATCTTATGAACCCTTAGAAAATTTGTCCATGCAGGAGTGCAGAATTCTTACAAGATCAAGACAATGTTCTACTGAGTTGGCCACATGCACATGAAACCAGATGTGCATGTGCATTCTCTGGATACAAGCATTGTTTTTTAAGTAACATTCCCCACTGGAATAGCATTCTGAAACCTCTTTCTTTGTTTCCCTCTTTGCAATAGGTTTTGAAGCAATCATGTACTGAGATTTTGTATTTGGAACCATCCAGCGTCTGTGTGGGAGGTAAGTTTTTAGAACTGGAAAAATTAATAATTATAGAACTGTTTGATTTCCAAATTTTATGCAAACAAGAACACTACGGGTCATCTAGAAGAAAGAAAAAGAATCTTTAAAAATACTAAGGGATCTTCTAAAAAAGATCAGATCCTTCTCTACTCATTTTGTTCCTCAGAAGAGCTGTCTTTCTGGGTCTCTTTTAAATTGCTAGTACAGGTATAATTTTGAGACAGACACTTGCCTCCCAATGTCACATTAGTCACACATGGTCGTTTGATTTAAGAGTACTCCTCACTACCTGTGTTTGTGTTCTTTCACCTATGAGAAATGAAAGACTTAAACTTAAACTCTCCCTCACAGAAAGTAAAATTTCTAGTCTCTCAATGGCACGAGAGGTTTGAATCTGTCCTAAAACTACTTCCTTATCTGGCACTTATGTTTTGTTAATAAGGCTATGAAGTCTAATTGCCTACAACAATGGGCTCCCAGCTAACGAGAACTTATGGAAGTGATCAAAGGAAACTGGAATTGTAAGATGCCACTTTCCTTCACAAAGAGATTGGAAAGTCTAAAAAACTTGTGCTTGCATTCAAAACAAGGATAGTTACTCTGAGATCCTCTCATACAATTTTATCTATGGCCACTGAGTTAAAATCTGGGAAGCCTGATTATGTACATTTACATAAACACATAATGATTTACATAGTGCCCTGAATCTGTAGTGCAAGAAGCAAAGCGCTTATTTTAACATGAGCCTGAAAGCAGAGATCTGCATTTTTGGGCTGCAAGTGTTAATATGTTTCTCAAACAGAACTGCACAAACATACAAATGCTTGTCTTCTCTCTAGGATTTCACAATCTGCACATACTTTGAAACCAATCAAAATAAGGTAGTTGCAAAATCTACTTATTTTGATGTTTCTGTCAAGACATAGATCATTTCAATTAAACCAGTGACTTTGTAAACAATCGCTTTTCATTTCTCCATAAAACTCAAATAGTGTGGCCCTTATGCATCTTCCGGGGTGGGGAAAACTTCACACAGACTCTATCTGAAGTTTTTAGTGAATCTGAGCCAAGTATTGGAAATCTTCTTATGAGACCCAGATTCCTTATTATCAGAGAAAGTTTTGCTTGTGCAGCTAATCCCCAAGGACTTTTATTTGCTCAGCTCTAGTTGCTAGTCAGAATAGACTTCCTCCAACAAGGCAGCTCTGAATGATAAAGACTGGGAGCAACACTTTTTTTCCCCCCTTTGGTGATCTGACTGAAGAGTCAGATACTACGACAGCTTAAAAAGTTGTCACAAGACTGTCTGAAGAGCGACTATGTTGTGGCTGAGTTATTGATGGCTAAATTTATATTCTCCTTGTCTGCATTTAGTCCTTATTACCAAGTACTAAAGATTGATGATGCGGTGGGGGGTTGTTTTTTTTTTTCTCTTCAGAGGAATTCCAAGTTGTTCTTAGAGGAAGTGGCTTAACTCTTGCCAGGAGACTTGATGGTATTACTTGTACCTATCATGTGAATGGAACCACCATCAGTAAGTATTTAAATTTGAGACAAAACTGCCTTGATATTTCCTCATAAGCACTTTTTTCCCCTTCCCTTCTGCTTACCTCATTTAATTAAAATCTAAAGAGAAAAGCATGGAAAAAAGAAATATATAAGCTCTGAGGTTTAGTAATGTAGTAAGGAGAATGCTTTTTCATCTTATTCAGGGGTTTCATTTTGCTGCTAGTGGCCATTAGCCGTAAACTAGGACTGATGTGTAGCTGCACTGCTGCCTGTGTGAAGTGCTTTCTTGCCCTACAATGAACAGGTGTTTGTGTATGAGAAAGCACGACCGCAAAGCGCACTAACCAAGTGTCTCCATGCCATAGGGAGACTTGGGCCAAGACATGGATCTTCTTTCAAAAGGCCAACTTTCCAACACGCACTTATCTTGAAGCATCTCTGTCCATCCGGTTTTGTATAGCAGATGCAGAGCCCTTGCGCTGCTGGTTTCAGGCACTTGAAGTTGTGAATGCCCTTCCACGACAGGGAGTCCACTCTTGTAGGCTTCTACTACAGTGTAGAAAGAATAAAGCCAAATCAGAGCAATTGGTACTATCTTCTGCTCATATGTTGAGCTTGTTCATCAGCCCAGTATTTCAAAAAGCATTTCCCTCCAGGAGAAGTGTCTCTAACTGGGCTACAGTTCCCTGATTTTTTACCCATAGATAAGAACTTACTTTTTAGAAAAAAATGAAACTTAATTTGTAGATTTAATTGTTTCCTAGAGAAAAAAGTGTACTTTACAGATTTTTTTTTTTTAATGAACACTCATACTTGGATGGATATTACAATCCTTAGATCTTCTGTTCACTGGGAATTTTTTCCCAATAGAAGACTGCAGACGTTGGAGAGGAAAACAGTAATAGTTGTAGAGAGAGAATCCAAACTTTTTTTCCTCCCTGCCAGGTCAGATACCCGATTAAATGAGTTTCCCAGTAGAGAATTTCATTTTCATGTTGCCCGAGTTGGCATGAAGGTGAGGATGGTGGACAAATTGCCATCACAGGGAACCTCTGCCCTTTTTAATATTCAGAAACTTAAATGGACAACTAGTGGATTTACATCCAACTTTTTGCTTTAAACGCTATCCCTTAGTGCAAGCCAACTAGCCAGACTGGAAAATAACCAAATTGGACATATTTAAGAAGTGTTTTTTGCTATCTAATATCTGATTTTTATATAAGCTTGTCTTAAATTCCTATCCTATTGCATATGTTTCCAGTACATTTTATTCCTATTCTGGATATAATTTATACTTTGAATGTGTTGCCAATCTCTCCTGCCTGTTAAAGATCTCCTAGAACAGCTTGAAAGAATAACAGAATAGCACAGTTGCTGTGGATAAAGACAACTTGTGTAAATAAGCTCTACCTTTATAAATTTCTCTTCATTCTTGATTGAAAATGTCATCTTTGTTTTCTATATTAAGCTAGCATGCTTAATTGCACTTGTTGCATAAATTAGCTTTATAGAGTTAGAATTTGCCATCTGCAAAGTAATTCTTACCATTATATTATCCCCTGATGTACCTTCATTACTTGGAGAAGCAGGGAAGCAGACTAGTTTAGCTCCAGCTCAAGAAAATGAATTCCATACTACTTTGGACAAATATTTGAAGCCTTAAAAACGCAACTACAGGATAATCAGAACTTAAATTTGAATTTCAGGAGCATATTTAAGTCATCTAGATTTTTCACTTGTAACCCTGCTTTACTCCTAACTTGCTGTTTATCATGAGCAGTTCACTATACCCCTGTTCATCCCTCTATGAAGAGAATGGCAGCACTTACCTTGTTTACAAGAGCATTTGGAGGCTTGCATCAGTATGGTTATGCTGATGGTGCTCAAAATATTCTGATGGAGGGCAGTAAATTCATGGTGGAAACAAGAACCTATGGAATATTAGAAGACGGATCAGGCATTTTCCATAAACTTCAGATTTAAACCTCTGCTGTCCTCTTGGGAGTTGTTACTGTATTAACAGTTTTGGCACTCTTCTTACCAATGCTACCACTATGCACCAAATAGGTCTGCAGTACTTAGTGACTGGTAGTTTGTGCTGCTGCTAGAATTAGGGGCTGGCTGTGTTCCCTAGGAACTTGAGTTCAGAGGAAGCTGGCAAGGGTGAGCAGAGGTCCAGAGCAAACTAGGTGGAAGTCATAAAGGTTAGATGCATTACATTCGCAGAAAAGAGAGGTAAATGTTACATGTTTTGACATGGGCTGCTTTGACAATGAAGATGAGAAGTGGGCTCCCCAAATCTGGCCAAAGAGAACAAGAGGTAATAGGCTTAAAATTCTGCAAGTGATCCATGTTTGATACTAGGAAAATAGGTTTCACTAAAAAATGCTTAAGGGCTGCAATATGTTATCTAGAAAATCTTAATAGCAGCTTCAGTCTATGTCACAAAAAAGGCTCAGATGTTTCCTTCTTTAAATGACCTCTCCAAGTGCCTTCTAACTGATTTTTTCCTGATTCCACAATTGCATTGCCATTTGTACCAGAACAGAGTATATATGAATATTTGACATCTGAGTTGCCTTTGTAGAAGTAACTATACTTGGACAGAAAGAAGCCCCCAAATTCTTGCAAGCATCTGATGTGAGAATTTGCAGCTACATCTCTGGGCTGCTTTTTCTTTTCTTGGCTTCAGAAAAGGGTGTGCTAAAGCATAAGAAGGGAGAGGAATGACATGGTGATGTATTTATTATATTTTGTAGCATAACAACACAAGCTGCTTTATGGTGTCTTGCCAAAGGCCCTTCCCAACCCACCCAGGTTCTTCTCTCCAGCAATGGTCTATGTCAAATGTTTAGGGAATAAACAGGGAAATTTTATGTGATCTTTCCCCTGGTGTGCTAAATCGTTTTCTAGAGCTCTGCGCTGTGTACCAAGCAGTTTTGTTTCAGAGGAGACCTGGAGGAGAATAGTAGATCTAGGATGGATAAAAGGGTAGAAACAACTCTCCCAGCAACAGGAGGAGGAAGAAAATGACCCTAAGAAAAGGAACATTTCCCCCACATATTGATTATCTTTTATGAAAAAAAAAAAAAACACACCCCTACTAGCAGCAGAACCTTTCCATTTTGGAGCAGAAAGCAGGAGGGCACTTGCATGAGAATGTATCTACTTGAGTTCCCCTTACTGATAGCTTGGGCTCCACTTTAAGATCAGCCTCTTGAACAGTCATTTTGTTGTTTCTTCTGGTTTTAAAATATAGTTTTGGCATGTTTCTCTTTCAGCATTTATAAAGAACCATTACCAAATGCTGGAAAGGAAATCTGCCAAATGTAACCGTGAGATAGAAAAATAATCTATGAAACATACCATAAAGACAAAAACATATGGCAATGTGCTAATCCTTCTTCCCCACCTCACAACTAGCCCCAAATCTAGGCCAAGCAGTTGGTACAGATTACAGCATATAAGAAAGGAAAGGTTCATTTATGCTAACAGCTCCTCCCTGAGCTGCTCCTGAACTATTTGTATATCTTCTTCTCCCCTCTCACCTCCTAAATACCTCTGAGAGCCACCTCTGAGTTTGTCTTGCAGATCATTTATCCACCCCCCCATCAGGAAGCAGTCTATGCTTGCAGTGCAGCTCTAGTACAGAATTAACAATACTATCCTGGGGAAAGTTCAGAAGATGATCCTGCCCGCTGAGCAGAATCCTTCCCATCTTACCAAACACACCAAGTAAAATAGCCTTCTTCAGCGAATCCTGTATGCACTGAGTACAGACGGTAATAGTCCTGTTTGACTCTATCTCCTTCTGGAGAACTCTTCATATAAAGGTTACAGTGAAGAACTACTGCTGCCTTTTGTCAGCCAGTGCAGAAGACTTTTACCTTCTTTACTTTTTGCAGTTGCAGAAAAGGAAAGCATACTTTGCTGGACATGATCTACAGGTAGTTACCTTATAGGCAGCTGAGAGCTACAAGTATTGAGAAACCCTAAAGCTTGAAAATAATAGAGAAATCAAACCCAGAATCACATCACAATCTAAAGGCAATGTGGGGGAATGGATCTAACAAAAAGCAAACCTTCACCTTGCAAATATTAGGAGTTACCTAATAATGTTCCCAGTGTTCTTAGAAAGGCCTTGATTCTAGGAAAACATTACTCTTGGACCTAAAAACGTGTAAATTTAAGTAATCAGTGTACTGTGAATGCATATTGCATACTGTTGGCTCTCATGTTCCCTTGGGAAAGTATAGCTTGATGTTTTTTTCCTCTCCTGACTTAAAGCTCTTCCTTACTTGCAAGTGCAGGCCATTGCCAAGCCAATAGCCAGCATGCTGTAAAAAGGGAAAGGACATTATAGAGTGTTCACACGTCTTCTCATCTAAGAAGAACGATTTATTAAACACATGCAATTTGTTTTTCAGATGAAAAACCAAAAAAGGTGGAACCAGAGTTTTTGCTCTGCCCTGCACCAATCCTATATAAAAGTGGCCAGTAAGTACTTAAAGTAAATCTTATACTGTGTTTTGATAGAATTGGACCCATTTTGGCGGACACTAATCATGTAGGGTTTTGGCTAGAGGCAATTTTTGTTGTTTTTATGGAGAGCAGCTTTGTTTGTTTGTTTGGTTTTTCTCTCATTATTGTGTTATTTCCATCATGTATTTCCCAGTTCTGGAATGGTTTCTAGATAGTCATCTGTGACCAAACCAATTTGGACAGTGCCTTAAAAATGAATATCCAGCCAGTTTATTAAACACTGAAAAGGTCTGGCTTGTCATAACTTTTATGCAGATTAGCTATGTTTTAACAGGGCTTAATACGCTTGCTTCTGGATCATCTTTGGACTCCTTCTTAAACACATTACATTATCACTGACACTTACAAGCTATTATTAAAATTACATGTCAAGATGTGTATCGCCGCTCAACATGTAATGGTAAAGCAAGGCACTAATTTAACAGCCGCAGCCATCTCATAACAGCACTGTGGCTAAACTGCAGCTCTGGCCTTATTCTAAGTGTCACCAGCTATGGCTGCAGATTACTTCTGGCCTTTGGAGAACTAATTCCTCCTTCCTGTTGTCAAATTCAGACATGCCCTAGGCTTTTAGGCTCACTTCAGCTTAAATTTCATTTTTTAAATTTATGAGATAGTAACATGAAAGAGAAATCCTAAGCTAATCAAAAGTCAGAAAACTGCATGTCAGACCAGCTCTGTGGGAGAGAGGAGGCTTTGAGACTGTTTTTCTTTGAGAAGAGCTACTTGCAAAACAGGGAAAAGGTAATTTGGGATGCAATATTAATAATAATACTTTAGGAAGCACAGCAGTTCACTGCAGATTTGCACTGTCATTTTACTGTGAGTTCTTAACAGTTTAACAACTAAGCACGTTGCCTAGATGATTTTTGAGTGGAATTACTTTCCTAAGTAAGAGTCAACAACCACAGTTGCTAGAAGACCGATAGCAAAACTCCAAATGCACATCTGCTTTGTATGTTAAATAGTAACTGTGAGGGGAAAAGCTGGAAAGTAGTGGAAAGCAAAACAAAAACTCTGTAAGTAGTTAAAAGCAGCGGAAGAGCAGGGTGAATCATTGCAGATGAGCAGCAGCTACAGCCTGACATCACAGAGCTCTTCTCTGGGGAGTGAGCACTGTTTTATGGCAGTGCAGGAAAAACAAGCGTGGAGGAGAGTTACGCTGGAGAGCAGAGGGAGGGGATGAGTCTAATTCTGTTATTTTCATGATCATCAAGTTGCCTTTCAAACAGCTAGGCAAAACTGATCTTGTCCTAAATGCAACAGCAGTTTGTTAGCACCATTTTGCTATTGTATTACACAGGACAGTTTTACTAATTTCATCTGAGCTAGTCTGCATGTGGTTGTGTGCCAATTGCACAACAAAACAGCTGTAACAAACTGCTGTCTTAGCTAAAGCCAATCATCACCATGTGCAGCTGTAAGAGAACTAATTTTATCTTCAGGAAGACGTAAATCAGTCAGGTTAAGAACCTTCCTCTCCAAGCCAAATAATTCGGAGGAGTTACATGACCTTAAAACAGCAACATGTCAGCAAGTTAGGCCCACAGTATTAAGCACTCTAACCTAAAGTTCTAAATGCTCTTTACACACTTAGTTTGCAGACATGTAGATAGCATATCCCACCCAATGAATACAATTTATTGATATTTATTCAAGCACAGTGAACATTATTTGGACATGCTGGATTTCTTTTTTTCTCTAAGGTGCTTTTTTTGGCCTTTAAAGTGTTTTTGAACACATCATATTGGGACTGAAGTCCAGGTCAAGCACTTAATTACAGCACAATTCTTAGTAATGCTTATAGGAAAGAAGGCATAAACTGTTTATGTTAGTAAGTTGTACAGGTTTGCACAAAAAGATTTTTCAGAAGTTAAAGTTATGCAAAACACAGTTTCATTACCCTGTATTGAATCAGTTACAGCTTTGGCCCAGAGATAAATGGTTTGCTGTGCAGAAGACTGACAGCTATGAAAGATATGTACATACTTGAACTCTTGACTTCCCATTGGCACAACTCAGGCTATTGCTGGATACCTCCCAGTAATTCCTCATGTAGTGGAGCTAATATTAGTTGCTAATATAGCAACAACCGATCTGCTCTATTTTTCCTAATGCTCTTTTCAGTGGAATTAACTGCAACAGAAAAGCAAAATTAGCTTTTCAGCTCCTAAACATACAGCTTTGTTTTTGGATAAATGGGCAAAACCTCACGTAGCAGGTTTAATTATATTTCTGTTGTAGACTTTTAGACTGATGAATTTGCACTTTTCAAATGTAGAACAAAAAAACTATATGGAATAAACAAGATATTTCCTTGATAAACCCCTGGTCACCTGGACTGATGCCATAGTGTGCTTCCACTTGCTTTCCAGTTGCTGACTACACTTACTTAGAAGCCTCCATAATGGCATATAGTTAAGCCTTCTTTTCAAAGCCTGTTTCTTGTAGCACCATGTAGCAGATTGATATGGAACCCTTAGGTGATGTGACAACATGATGCTGCTGCCTGTGCCATTTAAAAAAAAACTTTTTTTTTTTTTGAGGATGTAAAATGGCAATCTTTACCAAATTTGCTCCTGTAAAAGAACTCTGGGTTGGCTAACATGAGAATTACATGGGATTTCTAGATCCATTAGCTATGGATTATGAAAAGTAGAATCAAAAAATTCTGAATGGAAAAGTCCAATCATATAATCTATGGGAAGATGAGGAGAGAAACCCAGTGAAGTTGATTTGCTTTGTTTCATGTACTGTGACATCCTGTGAGGCCCACTGTAGTCATAGAACCAAGCAAACTGGTTTACAAAAAGGATGCAGTTTCTAATGCACAGACAGTGTCAGAGGCAATTTAGGAGGCTCTTCCAGAACGTCTGAGGAAATCTGTGCATCCTTTCAGCTCAGAATTGAATTGAGCTTCTTGTCCTGCCACAGCTTAAAAGGAACTGAACACAAAACTCAAGAGTTCCTCATCATCACCTAATTACTTCAGAGATTTCTGAAGTCATAGTACTTAGAAAAGAGAACAGAGCCCTTGCTTCTACTTTTGAGGACCAGCACAGGTGAAGAATGGTGAAGAAAACTAACCTTTGCACTAGTGTAGATTTTATTCTAGTCTTCTGGCTCAAAATCTTTTGAGTATACATTCTGAAAACTTATTTCTAGGCTTGACTTGACAAACAGATGGCTTCTATTCTTTTAAGTCAGCGGTTAAGTCCCTTCTGACTTCAGTGGAGAGAGAGTCAGGACAATATTCTTAGTGACTAGACATTTATAAATCCTACTTTTTGATATGCTGAAAATAATAAATACATTAAACAAGCATAACAAAAGAATACTTCACTGAAATATTAGTAGTTAAATATTTACCCATCTACTAGTTAACTCTCCCAATTTGTTGTTTCACCTTATTTTCTCACTAGGGTATTGCAGTACGCAATCTGCTGGCTCCTGGTGCTAAGGCCCAATTTTAATATTCTTGTGCAGATATTTATGTAAGCAATTCAAGAAGGGTTTGGTCTGGGCTATAAGGTAAAACACTCAAAATGAAAATGGGCTGAGAAATGATCACTGTGCTTAAAATAATTATGAGAATTGCAGATTTTTTTAAAATACAGCAGCAGTGTCGCCAGCCGTCTTCGTGGATCCTGTGCTTGAACTCATCAGGAGTGTCTATTCCAAGATTAATATTTGAGTAGTGTAAGAACACTATATCCTAACATTAACTCCTGAAATCAAGTGTGCACTTGTCCCTCCATCTGGCAAGATAAGTTTCTCATAATTTCAAATGCATTGACTAGTCCACCTGAATTCACCTAAAATAAGTTGGACGTGTACTTAAGAACACCAGCAAAAGGCACACATATACTTATGTGGGATTGTTACTTTACATTTATGTATCCAACAATGTCTCAATTATTCAAGTACAGTTTTGATACAGTTTGAAACAGGCAGTACCTTTCTCCTCTGGTTTGTAATCTTAACAAACAACAAAGAAACAAAAAATACAAATCTGAGAAGAAAAATCTGAGGGCAAGTGGAACCTTGCTTCCAGGTCCCCTGAATTTGATTGTCACATACAGAGATATCGTCTGTGCTACTGTTGAATGACCTAACTTACTCTCTATTCAAGACATGTTGGCTTCTGTTCATGCATATCCTTTCCTACATCCTGTCCAAAATTAACAGCTGATGACACTTAAATAGAAAGCTAAATGAGATTTAGTTGTTGTGTGGTGGAAAGAGAAATTACTACTCTGTATTCTCCCAAATTCTTGGTTACCTTCAGTTTTCAAATATTTGTCTTAAATTTAGTCTCCCGTTGTGTGCAGTTTGCTTGAAATTAAGCACACACAAGTGCATGAAAAAGTCTGTTAGAGTTCATGAATTTGTTTTCAGTACACTGCCAGTAGTAATAGCTGGATAAAAGCACAAAACCATTTTTGTGGTAAACTTCAAGGTATTTCCCATCCAGACTTTCCAGTAAGGAATTGCTAAGGGAAAATACAGTATTATTGAGTGCATTGCATAAGGCTTTGCACATAGTCAGAGAATAAATAGCTCAATAAATAGCTCAGACTCTTAAAACTCCTCTAACAAACTACAAAAACTTTTGTCCTAGAAAGAAAATACAGTGGAAAGTGATCCCTAAAATCACATAGCTTCGTGTTTCCACACTGCAAATGCCACCTTGAAACATTCTTTTGGTTCTCTATTAATCAGACTTCTCACAAGAAGGGCCTGTCCCGTTCACCTCTTGGTTCATCCTTTTGACAACTGCTGCTTTGCTTGTTTTGCACTCATTTGTGAATGAGATGGGAGCTCCAAGGCAATTCAGGCACAAATAATATCATGTGCTTTCTGCAGTGGCTTCTCAGGACTTTAGTTTTGAATATTTTTTGGTTTTGCTTTATCACTTTTTCCTCTTTAGAATTCAAATGCTGTCCCTAGGCACA